AAGTTGTAATTATGTGGCAGCTGCTTCTGCAGTCGGGCTGATGCTGGTTACCGGACCATTTGTGCAAGGGGCTCTGGATACGGGGTTGTGCATGTATTTTAAATAGATATGGACTGCTGTTGGTACTATAAAATTATCCAGAAGAAATGATATTTTTATACGAGGGCCGTGGAAAGAAACCTTTTTCCCCTCTAGTTTTCCCTTTGGAAAGGTAAGGTGGTAATATAAAGGGACACTTTTATATAGTCAATTTATTCACGGATTCTCCATTTGCTTTTATATTGGAAAAATATGTGCTGTGCCAATGAGTTGCAATTTTGCCCTCAATCTCGGCCTGCCTCCCTCCCACCTAGTGCTAGAGCTGCGCTGGTTCCCAAGGGAGCCCCTATTCCTCATGTATAACTGTTCACACAGCATTTTTCAAGACAGTACCAGCTCTTTGTTATAATTTCTTGCATGATAAAAGGAATAATTTTATTATCTAACTACCCAATGTCATGTCAAACAGCAAAAGAGATTGAAAAGGAAAATCGTTCAATTCCAATCAATCCAATCTCTTGTTCGTGGACAGAAAGACTGGTTGATTGACTACACCTTCAAACTTTCTAAACCATTTCTGGGTGTGTTACAGAACTCTCAGGGACGAGGGCAGATCTGGATAACTAGATAAGGTCAGAAGTATGGGAAGATCAGTAAGCTCATTAAAAAGGGATCTATTTACATGCCCATTGTTGATTCCGGTGTTGTTTGCTTCAGCCAAACTCCTCTGTCTCCATTGGAGTAGTCAGCAGATAATATAGGTTGAATAATCATGTGTGTCATTGAATTTTACAAATCTTGCATTTTCAAAGCAACAGAGATGCAAGTGCAGTCAATAGTTAGTTCTTAGGGACACTTGCAATTAAGGCAGAACGTGAATGTCTAGCCTGTGATAAGCAAAGGTTCTGTCTTAAAGATTCTCAGGAATCCTGCCAATCCCCACTCTGCACTTGACCTCGGAAGAGCTTCCCACCCTTGATCCTCTCCTAGAGGCCAGCTGAGGGCTTCAGAATAGCCCTCAAAGCTCACACCCCATCACAGCCTGAGCTCATGTTCTAAATGCAGCTCTCATCATAGCATTTGCTGCACTGTTGAGAAACCTTCAGTGGCCTTGGTGAGAGTCGAGTCCCTGCTATAGCCACCTGGGGCTGTTTCCCTTTCCAATACTCCGAGAACCTTCCCTCTGCCCAGGCTTGCTTCTCGTCCTCAAATGTTTGCTCTCACCTTCTCTGTCTGGTTATCCCATTTACCCTTGAAAGTCTCTCTCAGACTTCTCTTTGGGGACAAAAACCTTCCCGAAACACCTGCAGGCCAAATGAAGTGGCTGGTGTCCTACTGTCACTACCCTGAATCACTGCCGACTTTACAGACACACATCTCCCACCTGCTGGGACCCACACCAAAATGCCTGGTGCCATAAGCGTATCTCCTGCAAGACTTCACAGTCAACCAGAAGTCTTCTAGGTGGTGGTCGTTTCTCTTTGGAAACTGGAGGTGCTAAAATAAATAACATGAATACGTGCCAGTGTTTGAATTCCCCAATTGTTTTTTTCTCTTGGTGGCATTGTCCATCTTCATTTTTTTTTTTTTTTTTTTGAGATGGAGTCTTGCTCTGTTGCCCAGGCTGGAGTGCAGTGGCATGATCTTGGCTCACTGCAACCTTCAACCAATTCTCCTGCTTCAGCCTCCCAAGTAGCTGAGATTACAGGTGTGCACCACCACGCCTGGCTAATTTTTTCTATTTTTAATAGAGATGAGGTTTGGTCATGTTGGCCAGGCTGGTCTTGAACTCCTGACCTCAGGTGATCCACCTGCCTTGGCCTCCCAAAGTGCTGGGATTACAGGCATGAGCCACCATGCCCATCCTTCATTTTTTATTTTTTTGAAGCGGAGTCTCACTCTGTCTCCCAGGCTGGAGTGCAGTGGCGTGATCCCATCTCACTGTAACCTCTGCTTCCTGGATTCAAGAAATTCTCCTGCTTCAGCCTCCCAAGTAGCTGGGATTACAGGTGCTTGCCACCATACCCAGCTAATTTTTGCATTTTTCATAGAGATAGGGTTTCACCATGTTGGCCAGGCTGGTCTCAAACTACTGACCTCAAGTGATCCGCCTGCCTAGTGCTCCCAAAATGCTGGGATTACAGGTATGAGCCACGCTCCTGGCCCTTCATTTTTAAAATAAAGCATAAAACTGCTGTACATAACAAAATGTAAACCATGTTGAGTGTCTTCTTTTTGATTGCATTACACCTACTACCAACTCATTTATGTTCATATGGAAATAAAATTAGTTGGCAGCCTGTGTTCTAAATGCAAATCTGATCATGGCTGTGCTCCTTTGCCACAAAACCTTCTGGCTTGGTGTTAGGAAGATTGGTTAGGATAGGCAAAAAGGACAAAAGGAAAAGTTCCATGACCTTGTAGGGATTGTTAAAAGGAAAGGGTTTGTGTTTCTGGAGACCCCTTCAACTCTTCTAATTTCTATGAAGTACAGGAGATATTCATATTCTCACTGTATAAATGAGGAAACTGATTCAGAGGGCAGATCTAAATAAGAGAAACCAAGGCAAGGAGAAATTGTAGGGTGTTCAGGATCACAGAGTTAACTGCAGCCCTGGAACCCGTGAAGTTCCTGTAGATGTCAGCATGCCTGATAGGCATCAAAGAAGCAGAGTCACTGTGGATCAAACAGATTTGGTGAGTATCCCACGAGAACCATGATTCCTGTGCAATGTATTATTAGGGAGCTTGGATGTTTCTGCAGAAGACAGTAGTTCTGACTGAGATTTCCTTGGGTTGCAGGGGTGAGATGTGATGGGGTAAGGACAGCTCTTGGCACTGACCACACCCACCCCTGGCAGCCTCCACATCACTTGCTAGAAAGTGAGTTGCCAAGTGTCCTGGCTTGAATTAGGAGTCAAGAAGATGCAACCAACCGATGCACAGAAAACTCAGCCCCCAGATCAGCTCTTTCTAGTAATGCAACTAGACAGGCCCTACAAACCTGGGATTTATACTGGTAAATCTTGGTCTCATGAGGGCCCAGCTCAATTTGTGCAGAAATTCCACCAATGGTGGAGAGTTGATTTAGTGTCAGAAAAGGGTATTTGAAACAAGTGCGTTTTCCTTTACGACGAGTCTTTTAACATCAGGAGAGAAATACAGTTGATTGGAATTGATTTGTGTACGTGGCTGTTTGTGTGAAGTGTCACAGCATGTTTGATGGGAACATAGAAACAAAGAAGGAGAAAGGACAGAAACTGCTCTTCTGGAAGGTGCAGAGCAGAGAGTACAAGAGAATGCATCTTACGGAACAAGGCTTGGCCCTCCAGGTTGCTGTTGAATCTGGACTCAGTCCCTTAATTGCTGTGTGACTAACAGCAAATTGCTTGAGGTCTCTAAGCCTTGGTTTCAACATCAGTAAGAGGGGAATAATGAGTGTCTACCTCATGGGCTGTGGGAAAGATTAAATCAGTGCATCTGAAAGGCTGATTTTCTTCTACTTCAACTTCCTCCCTAAAAGGCACTTCCAGGAAAAGGCCTTATAAAAGCCCATCTTACTTAAGCATAGCAGTCTAATGATGGTTTGGAGTGTGTCCCATACGGGAGAGCCCACAAAAGAAGACTTAAAATGTTTCTTTTCTGTACAGAGTTCTTTTTTTTTTTTTTTTTTTGAGACGGAGTCTCGCTCTGTTGCCCAGGCTGGAGTGCAGTGGCGCGATCTCGGCTCACTGCAAGCTCCGCCTCCTGGGTTCATGCCATTCTCCTGCCTCAGCCTCCTGAGTAGCTGGGACTACAGGCGCCCGCCACCTCGCCCGGCTAATTTTTTTGTATTTTTTTTTAGTAGAAACAGGGTTTCACCGTGTTAGCCAGGATGGTCTCGATCTCCTGACCTCCTGATCCACCCGTCTCGGCCTCCCAAAGTGCTGGGATTACAGGCTTGAGCCACCGCGCCCAGCCCAGAGTTCTTTTTTGTTATTTATTTATTTACTTATTTATTTATTTGGAGACGGAGTTTCACTCTTATTGCCCAGGCTGGAGTGCAATGGCTCGATCCCGGGTCACTGCAACCTCTGCCTCCGGGGTTCAAACAATTCTCCTGCCTCAACCTCCCAAGTAGTTGGGATTACAGGTACCCGCCACCACGCCCAGCTAACTTTGTATTTTTACTAGAGACGGGGTTTTGCCATGTTGGTCAGGATGGTCTTGAACTCCTTACCTCAGGTGACCTTCCTGCCTTGGCCGTTCAAAGTGCTGGGATTACGGGGTTGAGCCACCACGCGAGTTCTTTATGATTTAAAAGACACTTGCAACCATCTTACCGCATTTAACCACCTCAAAGAGTCCCGTGTGTTCTATAAGTCAGGTATTATTTATTCCTCTTTTAAAATGAAACGTGGACATAGAAAAGTAAATTTCCAAAATTCATCTTTTTGCTTCTTAAACATGGTTGGAGGGATACATAAATGACTTATTAAGAATCACATAGTTAATGAAGTAAGAACCTGGGATGAGATTTTGTGCTGTCTGACTCCAAGTGTCGTGTATTTAATAAGAGGAAAGAACTCTAAGGTTCAGAAAAGACTAACTGCAGAATTTCAACATAATCGAACACATCAAAGAGTGGAGGGTTTTTCTGGGGTCTCTGCTCTAACATTCTGCAGATACCCAGCTGTCCATGGAAAGGCTCACCCCTGCCAAGATGTATTATACCAACAGCAAGACTTTCAACCTTCTCTTGGTCTTAATCTTTCTGAGTGTGTCTCCCTTCATTGTCTCTTCTAATAAATATATTAGAAAATATGTCTAGAAAACAGTTATGGAAAATATGTCTAGAAAATAATATTAGAAAATAATATATATACTACAAAATATAATAGAAAATGTCTTGAAAGTAATATTAGAAAATGACAATGAACATATTTATCTATTGCGACGTAATAAGTTACCCCAAGACTTAGTGACTTAAAACAAATCACATTTATTATCTCATAGTTTCTGTGGGTCAGGAATCTGGCCATCCCTTAGCTTGGCTCTCTGCTTCTGGGTTGGCCGTGAGGCTGTAGTCAAGGTGCTGGCTGGGCCTGCAGTCATCTCCAAGCTTAACTGGGGGCAGATTGACTTCCAAGCTCAACAAGTGGTTATTGGCAGGGTTCAGTCCCTGTAGGCCTCAGTTTCTCCGTGGCTGCAGGCTGGAGGCTGCCCTCCTTGTTATGTGAGCTTCTCAGTAGGACAGCTCACCACATGGCAGCTTGCTTCATCAAAGAGAGAGAGAGAGAGAGAGAGAGAGAGCGCAAGTGAATATGAGACAGAACTCACAGCCTTTTGTAATCTAATCTCTGAAGAGACAACCCATCACTTTTGCTGTATTCTGTTCATTAGAAATGAGTCACTAGATCCATATCACACTCAAGGGGAAGATATTTTACAAGGAAGTGCATACCAGGAAGTAAAGATCAGTAGGCGTCCTCTTAGAAGTCTGCCTACCACAGGCCTCTTTTGTAGAGAAGCCTTCAAGGCCAGACCTGATCTCTACTAACTTCGTTTGCTGGTTTCTATTTTGAAATTGGTAGTCCTTCTTAGAACTTTGTGATAGCAGTTGTGAGGGTATTATCTCAATAAAGCCTCTAGCCAACTGGCTTTACAATGGAGCAACTGGAATGAAATCTGAGTGATATATCAGTAATGTCCATGACTGGCTAGAATGAATGAAAACGGGTGTGCCTCAGCATTGGGTAAACCTTCAATTCTTTTTCTCTTTCCTTAACTCAATTTGTTCTGATGATATACAAAACCATAGGGCAAACTTTTTTGACAGGGAATTTCTTGTCCCTGTACCACTACCCCCTGCAAAGGTAGGTGGTCTGAATCCAGCAGCATGGGTACTGATGCCAGCTCTTGGGGCTCAGGCGATGGTGACTGCAGCCATGCTCTGATCATCTTGGCCCAGCAGATATTCCCATGGGGACAAGTCCAGCGTGCCTTGAAATAAGAGCCTGTTGCAGGCTAGGAGTATGGGGTCTCACACACCCAGATGCACATCATCAATTTGGAAAGTCCTTTTTATTTTCGTTCATTTAAATGCTTCTGTTTTCTGTTTGTTTTACGAGGAGTTAGTTTCATTAGTGCTACTGAGTCCATGTGTTCACCCACCACAGTCGAGCCTTACGTTGATATCTCTCTTTCCCTTCAGTGTACTCAGGCCCTGCAGAGAACATGTGAAGTCCTCACGGCCTCCCCGTCATTGGACTAGCAAGTTCGTGAAGACTTCCCTGTGTCTTTGTCTCTCTCTTATTTAAAAGCCATGATGGCTCCCTGCATGTCTGCAGGAGATGCCAAGGTCTTCACAGTCCAGCCCTGGTCTGCCTCTCTGAGACTCTCCAGCTGCCTGGCTGGGCCTCCTGTCTACACAACAGCTAGAATCCCATGCCACCTGAAGGTGTTGAAACAAATCATGCACTTCCCAGGTTCTGTTGCTTTCTTCACCCCTTCCCTTTACTTGGGAACAAATGTCCTCCCTCCCTGACACCCTCTGCACATCTCTCGCTAGCCATCACTGGTGCATCTGCCAAGGCCCAACTCAAATGTCCACTTTCCTTTGGAGCCTCCCCTGACCTCCTACTCACTTTAGGTGGAGCCCATGTGTCTATAGTAGCTGCCATGGGTGCTGCACCCGGATCCCTGTGGCATTTACAATATTTGCACAGGCAGTGTGACTTTCAATGGCCAGCACCAGCTGCTCTACCTGAGGGCTTTCTCTGTCTGCTCACTCTGCCCTTGCATGGGGCAGATTGAAAATGTTGGGGGTTACCTCCCTAGGAAACCCCTCTACCAATGACTGCTGGTTCCCCACCCCTGGACAGGGTGTTTCTGAGGCAAGATAGCCCAGAGAGGTCTCCTGTGGAGCTGAGCTCCTCTGGAGTAGCAACTGGTGACAATGAACCCCGCCTGGCTTCCTTCCCTCTCCTGGGTTACTTTGTCACTCCCCTATCCGTGGTTTCTCAGTTGACTTCGAATGATCTATTTGTACTTGAAGCTTTGCTTTGGAGTCTGCTTCTGGGGAACCCACACTGAAAACAGAGCCCCTCCTCTGTGCTTATGCTCACTCTACACATTTATTACAGCCCTTACATTGCACTTGGGGGTATCCAGCATCATGCTCCTGCACAGTGACCTCCTTGAGGGCAGAAACTCTGCCTCCCCAAGGCCTGGTGCAGTGCTGGGCATACATCTGGTGCCCATACTTTTGTCGAGTTGATTCTCTTGTGCTCATTTCCCTAATTAAAAGTTTTTTTTTTTTTTTTTTTTTTTAAGTTTTCAAGGGGGCTGGTTGGAGCTTAGGTCCTCATCTTGCACTAAAGAGTGAAGTGATCCAACCATCTTGGCAGCCACTGCTCTACTGCTGTCACAGCCCTTTCAGTGAGAAGGTTGCCCAGAGCCTTAGGTAGCCAGGTGATGACAGTGGCTGCCCTGTCCTGGCCACTCTGTAAGAGACTGTGAGGTTGCATCCTTCCTGACTTGGTACAGCATCTGATCTCATCTGCTTGATTCTGATTCTGTTGTTACAAATGACAAATTGGGAGGAAAGTAAACGAGCTATTGAGAATAAAATATCCTCCTGCCAAGTGGTAATGCCCCGGAGAGAGGGAGGACATATCTCCCGTGTCATTATGGGGATAAATTAGATGTCTGCTGAGCTTCTCCCACACATGCTCACTGGTCAGATTTGGGACTTCACATCAGAATTGTCACCCTGTCTGGGAGAAAAGCATTTAGCAAGGAAAGGGGTGGAGACTGCCATTTTGGAAGGGCAGTTAAGTTCTCAATAGAAAGTCTTTCCCACAGTATTATTCTGTGAAGACGCTGTTCTTTTTTTTTGGTTTATAATTACTTTACTTTTCTAAAACTTTTTTAAAAGTTTTTTTGAGATGGAGTTTCACTCTTGTTACCCAGGCTGAAGTGCGATGGCGTGATCTCTGCTCACTGCAACCTTCGCCTCCTGGGTTCAAGTGATTCTCCTGCCTTAGCCTCCTGAGTAACTGCGATTACAGGCACGCACCACCATGCCTGGTTAATTTTTTGTATTTTTAGTAGAGACGGGGTTTCTCCATGTTGGCCAGGCCGGTCTCAAACTCCTGACCTCGGGTGATCCACCCGTCTCGGCCTCCCAAAGTGTTGGGATTACAGGTGTGAGCCACCACACCCGTCCTATAATTACTTTACTTTATTTCAGGGGGAAAAGAGGAAGACACCAGGAAGTTCTTCACCAGCCAGAGTATCACACTCCTACTAAGTGCATCTCTGTGAAGACAAAATCCCAGAATGCAAGAAACATTCTGAGGATGTTTGCTGAGCTCTGCAATTGAGAGAAAGGTCTGTGACTTGCCAAAGGTAGGGAGGAGGCCGGGCGCCCTGGCGGCTGGGCTGCATGGTTTGGTTGGCCCTAGCCTGGTCTGGCCAGTGCCCCACTTGCCTTTGGGGCTTGAGAATGTTTCCCATGGGGCAGGAGGATGAGAACAAGGCCTCCTCTTAGCAGGGCTGATGAAGCTCCTCCTTTTTCTCCCCTGAGTCTCTGTGGAGTTCACATTTGTGGGCACTTCCCTTGGGAGAAGCCCCACTGAATCATCCACTGAAAATAGGTTTATGGTGCACGGAAGGATTTTTTTCAATAGCAGGCCCTTCATGAATTGTTACAACCTTGGGCACAATAAAATGAATACCAATGTGGAGCGTGCGGAGGGTGCGGAGTTGCCAATCGTCTTTTTGGGAGGACTATACTTTGTTCTGAGATTAATCTTTCTTACTTTGCTTTTTCAAATTAAGATGTCTTTCTTTAAGAAGTATAAATATATGGGAGCTGTTTTTTTTTTTAATGTTTTTACTTGGCCAAATAAAAAAGTTGGCAATCCTATCATTTTCAACACCCTCTTTAAAAAATATTTTAAAAGGCCGAGACGGGCGGATCACGAGGTCAGGAGATCGAGACCATCCTGGCTAACACAATGAAACCCCGTCTCTACTAAAAATACAAAAAAATTCGCCGGGCGTGGTGGCGGCGCCTGTAGTCCCAGCTACTCAGGAGGCTGAGGCAGGAGAATGGCGGGAACCCGGGAGGCGGAGCTTGCAGTGAGCCGAGATCGCGCCACTGCACTCCAGCCTGGGCGACAGAGCGAGACTCGGCCTCAAAAAATAAATAAATAAATAAATAAATAAAATATTTTAAAATAGATATGTGATATACAAAAGATAGGGAACTGATTTATAGGAAGAGTTTGAGTCCCCACGAAGTCCTCACCCAACCCTGACTTTGGGCTTTCCGAGAAGAGGTACACTTTGCCCTCCATGGGCCTGGCTTTCCTTATCTGTGAGAGCAAGGAAGAGACTGGGCCATCTAGTTCCACGCAGATCAGTTGAAAGAAGTCACTGGAAGAAGAAAATTTTATGGGAATTATGGAAGGTTGGGAAGAAATGGTCTTTGCAGATGAGATTAAGTTAAGGATGTTGAGATGGAAAGATTGTTTTGCATTATCCAGCCAGGCTCTAAATGAAATCATATGTATCCTTACACAAGGGAGGCGGAGGGAGCTTTTACACACAGAGGAGAGTGCAATGTGAAGACAGAACATGAGATGTGAATGTGAAGACACTGGCCTTGAACACTGGATGAATGAGGCCACAAGCCAAAGAATGTAGGGGCTACCAGACTCCCCCAGCACCTCCGTAGGGAGCACAGCCCCCTGACACTTTGATTTCATCCCAGCAATGCTGATTTTGGCCTTCTGACCTCCAGAACTGTGAGAGAATAAGTCGGTGGTTTTAAGACACCCAGTAGGTGGCCATCTGTTACAGCAGCCACAGGGAACTAATGCAGGAATACAGACTGCAGGCTCCTTTAGAGCAGGATCTAATTACGACTCCCCAGCAGTGCCTTGTCCTTTGCATGGAGCCGCCCATAGCTGCAGATGAAATGTATTAGCACTTCTCCAGTTATTTAAGGTCAATCTTTTTGAGTCTTCTTTTCTGGGACCTGCAGATATTTCCTGTTAACCAGGATCTTAGGGGACACCCAACCATGGTTCTTTCTCAACATCATCTCTGGAAGCATCAGCTGTCTCCTTGACATCACACACCAAAGGATGCACTTTCTAAGGCATTGTTTAGGACTTAGGAGAGGCATAGTTTTTAGCAATGAGCTGAGAGATGGGGTGGGTCCTTGCCACATCCTCCTTCCAACATTGCTATGACAGCTTTGTGT